GCATCCTTGCCTCCTCGGTCCATCCGTGGCCACTTTCGCTGGCCGCGCCCCGCTCGAAAAGCTTCGAAATGGGCGTCCAATGCCCTTGCATCCTTATCGCGCGTACTTCTGATACGGGCCGACTGCACAGAATCTATTGAGAAACGTCCCCTCCTCGATCTTCGGGAGCCGAGGGCGAGATTGCGAATGCCGTGGCTGGCCCGGTCGAGGGCGTTCTGCGCGCGTGGCCACCCGCCCGGGCGGGGCTCGCCCCTCGGACTGGCTGCGAGGGCACTCGCGGGTTCTTGTTCCGTCGGCGGCGAGGCAGAGGCGGTCCGCTCCAGCGTGTGGCAATTTCGGGGCAGCCGAAAGTCAAGCAGTGGCGAAGCGTCCTGGCTCGCCTGTAGCCCTACCAAACAATGTTCTAAGAACCTTTTGCGGTTTCCACGAAATGTTCTTAGAACATTTCTGGCGGAGGTTGTCTTGTTTGAACACATGGGGTTTCTGTTCTAAGAACCTTGTTTTTGTTCTTAGAACATTTTGGGGGGGTTCTAAGAACATTTCGTGGTAGGACTATAGGAATGCCGGGACGGTCGGTCCCTGCTCAAGGAAGGCGAATTGGCCGGCGTGCAAGCGAGGGGGAGGCCAGGACACAGACAAACCAGGACAGAGGAAAACCATGGAAACGGCACCCTTCCCTGCAGAGTCACATGTTTCAGCACCCGCGCAGTCTTTGCTTGCTGCGCTGAAGGATTCGGGCTTGTGTCTGGGTTTAGGGGGGTCTTGCAGGCCTGTAGGGACTGTGTCCGGGTTTCTTCTGGAAATGCTGCAGTGCAGTATCTTGTTCGTGCTGCCGTTTGGAACATCTGGTTTCAAGGGATGTTGGGTGTCCAGGTCTAGCGTGTCCGGGTCTACGGGGCCCTGGAGAAAGACAAGAGCGGCCGCGCAGGGGGAGAGGGAGGGGAAAACGCTCAGACGTGGAGGAGTTCCGCGTCGAGCGGAGCGCACCTCGCGCACTCGCGCGCTGGCCTTCCGCGAGTCCCCCGCGTGCGGATTCGGCTGTATGTGTGTGTGTGTGTGTGTATGAGTGTGTGTGTGTATGTGTGTATGTGTATGTGTGTGTGTGTGTGTGCGGCAGGGTTGTGCAGGCAGGCGTTCGGTCATGTGATCGTTTTCTGATTCATTGTTTGGCCGATCGGCGCGGGCCATCGCACCCCCCCCTCCCCCTCCCATGGAGTAGACCTTGGCTGTTTTTGGCGCCTGTTTCGAGCAGGTGGAGTCCCCCATAGGATGCACTGCTGCAAACAGTCGCGCTAAGCAGAGGTCCAGAGCCATACCCCCCTCTCCCCTCCCCCATTCCGCCCAATGTCGAAAAGCCGAATAAGAAAACGTTGACATGGACCCCTTGCGGAACGCACCCTTCCAGGTTTCGCCTCGCATACCGCTGGAGGCCGCTGAGTTACGCTGCGTCTTCGAGGGACCTCCCCTGTCCCCAATATTGGTCTCGTTTCTTGTGCCCGACGCGGGCTCGATCCGGACTCGACGCGGATATGGCCTAGATTCGACGCGGATTCGACACGGGTCCGACGAGGCCGACATGGGTTCGACACGCACTCGATGCGGATAGGGCCGCGACGGGACAGACAAGGCCCCCCCGAAGATGCAGCACCATTGAAGGCTGCCGACGATTGTCAGAACACCGCCGAAGACCGCACGGTGCCGCTGGGCACCCCGGGGGGGGGGGGTCCGTGGCCGACTGCGCAGCTCCTCCTCCTCCCCCTCCTCCTCCCCTTCCTCCTCCTCCTCCTCCTCCTCCTCCTCCTCCTCCTCCTCCTCCTCCTCCTCCTCCTCCTCCTCCTCCTCCTCGCCGCCCCGGCGCGGCGGCGACGCCCTGGGGGTCTGAGGGCTGAGCGCCTGCTCGGGGCCCTTCGGGGGGGGGCCTCCGAGTAGCCCACGGCGTGGCACGCGCTGCCAGACTGCAGCTGCAGCACCTTGCACTGCAACGCATTGCGGGCGAAGGGGGGAGGAGGAGGGAGGAGGAGGGAGGAGGAGGAGGAGGAGGAATGGAGGAGGAGGAGGAGGAGGCGGAGGAGGAGGAGGAGGAGGGAGGAGGACAGGGAGGCCCGTCCAGGGATCGGTGCTGAGCTGAGCGGTGGCGGCGACAGGTCCGCTCCGCGCTGGGCGCGGCGGGGGCTCCCCCGCGTGGGTGCTCGAGGCTGCAGGCCAGTGGCGGCCCGAGGTAAGCTTCAGTCGGGCGTGTCCCTCGACAGGAGGACTATTCAACAATAGCAGCGAAAATAGTCTGGGGACTATTTTATCGCTTCGCTCATTCCGCCGGCCCTGGAGCGCTATTTGGGGCCCCTTGGGGCCGTCTTGGGGGCCTCTTGGGGGCTTCTTGGGAGCGTCATGGGGCTCCTTGGCGGCGTCTTGGGCTCCCCTGGGGCCTCTTAGGGGGCTCTTGCGGGGCCCTTGGGGCGGGAGGGGGGGTAGTCGATTGCAGCCACCCCCTCGGAGGCCACGATCCTCGTGAGGGGTGGCGAAAAATAGCCTCCCCCCTGGGGATCGCCCAGGACCCGACCGGGACCCGGCCGGGGATCGGCCGGGGTACTGTTCGTCCGGGGGCACCCAGGGGCCGCCCCGCGCGCGCGAACTAGAAATATTGTTAAGTAGTTACCGGAGATCTTAGCACGCCTCTGGCCCGTTGGGCCGGCTTTTTTTATTACCATTTTGGAGCATGTGTAGAGTATTTGTTATGTTTCGTCGAACATCCCCCTGTAGGGGGGCACGCCCGACTTAAAGGTAAGCCAACCTTGGACGGTCTCCACTGTCGGGTCAGCGGAAGCCGCTCGAGGCAGCGAGTTGCGCGGCGCGAGCGAGAAGCCAACGTCCACGGCGACACGGCAGGCGCCCGCCCGCCCTGCCTTTCCAGCTGTGCGGTGGGAGCTGAGCGGCGCTCCTCGTCCCCCTGACGACTGACGAGGGGGCCCTCCGGCTTCGATCACCCCTGTGCCGAGGGCATCGGCATGCCCGGAGAGCTCCCCCGCGCGTGGCTGGTCGGGGGGGGGGGGGGCAGGGCCTCTTGCGATTCTTCCGATTCGATTCGAGTCGACTTCGATGGATTCCGATTCTGATTCGACTCGACATCGGATTCCGATGTGGATTCCGATTTCTCAATGAGGCCTTACCACCCTGCCGATTTCAGTCGATTCGATTTTCCCCGACTTGTCCGTCGATTTCCGCCGACCCGATTCAGTTCGAGTGCCGATTCGACTTATCGAGGGCTCTCCTGGGGGGGCGACGACGGAGCAGGAGGGAGGAGGACGAGAACGAGGAGGAGGAGGAGCAGGAGGAGGAGGAGGACCATTGGAAACCCAAGAGTCACCAACGATGTTGGAATACACCATCCCTTCAAGCTTTCTCGTCATCGGCCCCTACAACGGTTCATTTCCACTGAGGGAACTGCCTCGTTGGAAGACAAACATTTGAAGAGCCTGAAGCATACCAAAACATTGTTTTTGGGATTCCAACACCACGGATCAACCTGACTGTTGCGTCTTGATGATCTTGAATAGTGCCAGAACGCCGTTCCTGGGACTTCAACACTGCGAATCAACGTAGGTGTTGCACCCTCATAATCCTGAGTCCTTCCAAAAACACCACTTTTGATACGTTGATGATGGGAATCCGTGAAACTCTTGCAGGTTGTTTGAACGAATGTGCGCGGCGGTAAGGCGAGAGCCACATGTTGGAAAGGAGCCGCCCTCAATCCGTGAAACTCCTGCAAAGTTTAAAAGCGAATGCGCTCGGCGCTAAGGCGAGAGCCACATTTTGAAAATGAACCGCCCTCAATCCGTGACGCTCTTGCAATTTGTTTCAATCGATGTGCGCGGCGCTAAGGCGAGAGCCACATTTTGGAAAGAAGCCGCCTTCAATCCGTGAAACTCCTGCAAAGTTTCAAAACGAATGTGCGCGGCGCTAAGGCGCGAGCCACATTTTGGATAATGCACCACCCTCAATCAGTGAAGCTCTTGTATGTTTTAAAACGAATGTACGCGGCGCTAAGGCGAGAGCCACATTTTGAAAGCCACCCGCCCTCCATTTGCGAAGCTGATGCCAATGTTCAAGCTTCAGGGTCATAAATGGTGAGGAAGTCTCAGGCGAAACGCCCAGACCGCCCTAAAAACTTGCCTCGGGGTGTGACAGGGAGAAGTTGTTCATATGACAAACGAATGGAGGAGGGGGAGGAGGAGGAGGAGGAGGAGGAGGAGGAGGAGGAGGAGGAGGAGGAGGAGGAGGAGGAGGAGGAGGAGGAGGAGGAGGGGGAGGCGGAGGAGGAGAGGAGAAGGAGGAGGAGGAGGAGGAGAAGAGGAGGAGGGCAGCCAAACAGAGGAGCAGCAGGAGGCAGCAGGAGGAGGAGGGGGAGAGGAATGAGGAATGAGGAAGCGAGGAAGGAAGGAGGAGGAGGGGGAGGAGGAAGGAGGAGGAGGAGGAGGAGGCATGAGGAGGAAAGGAGGAGGAGGAGCGGAGGAGAAGGAGGAGGAGGACGAGGGACGAGGAAGAGGTGCCGCCAACTTCACACGCGAGCGAGCGGGTGGATCGCTCCCGCGCCCCTCTGCGGCGTGCTCGGGGAGGTCGGCGCGCTCACCCAAGGCACGCGGGCAGGCCCGCAGGCCCGAGTAGGGCCGCACGAGCCTCAAGGGGAGGCCCTGGCCCGAGGGAGGAGGAGGAGGAGGAGGAGGAGGAGGAGGAGGAGGAGGAGGAGGAGGAGGACGAGGAGATGGAGGAGGAGGAGGAGGAGGAGGATGAGGAGGAGGAGGAGGAGGAGGAGGAGGAGGAGGAAAAGGAGGAGGAGGATGAAAGGGGAGGACCCCCCCCCGTACGGTTAGCATCAGCTCTCCTCCTGGCCTCCTCCTCCTTGCTGCCTCCTCTCTCGCCCGTCGTCGCCGGGAGGCTGGCCGCGCCTCTCCGCGCGGGGGACCCGCGCGTGGAGGCGGGCAGCCCCCCCCCCCAGGCACGTGCGCAGGGAGGCCCTGGCCCGAGGAGGGCCGCCATGGGGGAGAGGGGGGGGGCGAGGCCGCGGCGCTGCCCCAGCCTTGAGTCGGGCGTGTCCCTCTACAGGGGGAGTGCTCGAACATGGTAAAAACATAGTCAGGGGACGATTTCCTGATTATTTTTTATATTTCTGGGGGTAGTTGTAAAACATCAGTCGTCCAAAATCCGCCTGTAGGAAGACACGCCTGACCTAACCCCAGCCGTGGGCGGGCGGCCGAGATGGCGCTGTTCGACTTCGACGGGCTGGAGGACGCCGCGGCCGCCGCCCAGCAGGGCGGGCGCTGGCTGGCGCTGCAGCCTACGGGCGACGTCGCCAGCCGCCTCTGCGCCGTGGCCGTCAGGGGCAGCGAAGAAATAATAATAATAATAATAATGGTAATGATAATAATAGTAGTAATACTACTAATACTAATGATAATAATGATAACGATCATAATAATGATAATGATCATACTGATAGTAATGATAATAATAATATTAATACTGATAATGGTAATGATAATATTTATATTTGTAATACGGATAACACTGAGAATGTCAATACTAATATTGATGATAATAATATGAATACGAATAATCATATTAATACGAATAAAGGTAATGCTAATACTGGCACGAATAGTATTAAGAACCGCAAACATAACACTAGTACTATTTCTTAATGAGAATAATATTATTAATAATATTAAGAATGGGAATCATATTACTTATACTACCAGCGCTACTAAGAATACTACTGCGAATAAGAGTACGAAGGAAACTCATACTACTACTGCTGCTACTACTACTACTACTACTACTACTACTACTACTACTACTACTACTACTACTACTACTACTACTACTACTACTACTACTACTACTACTACTACTACTACTACTACTACTACTACTACTACTACTACTACTACTACTACTACTCATAATAATAAGAAAACGAGGAAGAAGACGAAGAAGAAAAAGAAGAAGAAGAAGAAGAAGCAGACGGCCCGTAAAACGAGCGAGGGTCCCCGCCCTCTGCAGGAAACCATTTCTTCATTGCTTGGGGCATGACGGGCGTCATGGCCCCCGCCCCCCCCCCTCCCCCTCTGACGTAACGCTCCCGCCCCAGTGCGCTCCGGGCACTGCCGCCGTGCGTATTGGGATCCGCGTAGGTGTCCGCGTAGGAATTCGCATAGAAGTCTGGTCCGCAGTCGTCGTCGTCGACGTCGTCGTCGTCGTTGTCGTCGTCGTCGTCGCTCGTGGCTCGTGGCTCGTGGCTCGTCGCTCGTCGCTCATCGTCGTCGTGCGCGCGGACGCGGCTGGAGCCTGTTTTTTTATTCCGGGCCGATGACGGCAATCATTTGGAGGGGGGGTGGAGGGGGTCGATGACGTCATGCTTCGCGCCGGCGGCGCCTGGGAATGCCTAGGAATGACGGAGGACGGGTGGCACCAACATGTAGGTGGCGATCAGCACCACAACGCCTGTGTACACCTCAGTGCCTGCGTTCACCACAGCGCCTGTGTACACCACGCCGCGTATGTACACCACAGCAGCCGCGTGCAACACAGCGTCAGTTTGTGCCACACCGCGCGCGGGCACAACAGCTCTTGTGTACACCACAGCGCCTGCGTACACCACATCAGCCGTGTGCAACATAGCAGTGTACACCACAATGCCTGCGTGCATTGCAGTGTCTGTGTGCATCACGGCGCTCGCATGCACCACAGTAACCGTGTGCAACACAGCACCATTGTTGCATGTAGAATGTTAGAAGGAACCATTATGACAAAATGGAGCGTTTGTGGATTCCACCGAAAACGCAAGAAAATAATCCTTATGGGCAAGGGAGCGCCAGGGGAATCTACGAGTCTTTCCGAATTCGCCCGCGTCACCGTAACTCTTCCCGTCTGCGTCCAGGAGGCTCCAGTTCAATTGGCCGTCCGAGAACCAAGTGGGCCGATTCAATCGACCATTTTGCGGTGCACGCTGAGTTGCGCACGTGCGCTGTAGCGCCAGTCCGCATGACAGGGGGCAAGGAGGAGGAGGGGGAGGAGGAGGAGGAAAAGGAGGAGGAGGAGGAGGAGGAGAAAGAGAAAAAAGAGGAAGAGGAGGAGGAGGAGGAGGAGGAGGAGGAGGAGGAGGAGGAGGAGAGGAGGAGGAGGAAGAGGGAAAAACGTCGCATTCGATCATCAACAGTTTCCTGGCGTGGCGCTTCCGCAGCAGATCCTCACGTACAGGCTCCTTCCACCTGTCCTATGCACGCAGACACTGTGGTGTACAATAGCGCTGCGTTGCACGCGGATGCTGTGGTGTAGACAGGCGCTGTGGCGTGCACAGGCGCCGCGGTGCACGCAAGCACTGTGGTGCACACAGGCGCTATGTTGCACATGGTTGCTTCCGTTGTGCACATGTACACCGGCGCTGTAGGGTACGCAAGCACTGCAGTGTACACAGGCGCTGCGTTGCACACGGTTGTTGCGATGTGCGCAGGTGCTGTGGTGTACACGCGCGCTGTGGTGCACGCGAGCGTTGTGGTGTACACAGGCGCAGAGGGGCAGATCGCCACCTACATGCTGCTCGCGTCGTCGTCGTCGTCGTCGTCGTCGTTTGTCGTTCGTCGCGTCGTGTGCGCGGGCGCGGCTGTGGTGCCGGAGCCACACGGCGGGGGGGGGCGTTATGCCATACCCCCCCCCCGCCCTCCTCCCCCATGACGCCCGTCATCGCCGAACATCAAGAAACGCTCTCCAGCGATGCGCCAGGCCGCGGCGGCAAGGAAGAACATTGCGCAGCCTCGGCCAGTGATCACACGCCTGCCCATTGCTTCCGATGTCCAGCGCTTCTGGTAGCGACAGGGGGCAGGGCGGAGGGGGCTCGGGAGGAAGCATCGGCCCTCTCTCGCCCGTGTCAGCGCCAAGCGCCGCCCCGCCCAGGAGCGCACGGTTTTGCCGTCGGGGCTATCGCCGGTTCCAGGCCGGCATCCCCCCCCTGAGCCAGCTCCCCCCCTCACCGTCCCCCCCCAGGCCAGCGCCGAGCTGCTCGCCGCGGACACTGGCCGCGAGCTGGTGGTGCGCTGGGCGCCCGAGATCGCCTGCGACGCCCCGTGGCGGCAGCTGTTCCGGCCAGAGCACGGGCCGCGCCAGCTGCTCGGCGGGTGCCATGGGCAGCAGGAGGGGCACCCCGCCAAGGGCCACGCACTCGGGGGATCGAAGGGTCGATCTTGTCGCCCTCGGCGGAGGCCGTTGGAAGGCCTGCGACCGTTAACGCAAGCAGGCGTCGCAAAAGTCGTGGCAACGACGCCGCCCCCAGGCATACCGAAGCCGGCCACTCGGAAGGGCAACACACATGGCAGCACACATTCCCATGGTCGCACATCTCTCCTTCGTTCTCCTCCCCCTGGGGGTGTGGCACACCCCCAGGGGCACTCACCAAAAGTGCCCCCTTGCGAGGGCGACGTGCACGTTCGACAGGGCGGCTGGCCTTTTCGGCGGCCGACGCACGGGCGACGAATGCGCGACGCACCTCCTGTCGCGAAGGGGGGGGGGGGGTCAGCACGCCGGTCGCTTTACTGGGCCTTAACAGGGTGTGCTCAGGCGCACCCAGGCCTCCGACGTCGTGATGTTTCCAGTCGGTCCCGAGGCTTTCGGGCCCAGTTCTGGGGATCTCTGCTCTCGTTTCAGATTTTTCCCCGCCTTCCTGCGTTGGGCTCTCGTTTTGAAGTTTTGAGTGGAGCACTGCCCGCGCGTCTTCTCCCGCCCCCCTCCTGTCTTCTATCCTGCCTCTTGCCTCGCTCCTGTCTGCCCTCCTGCCTGCCAGCCTGCCTCCTACCTCGGTGGCCTACGTGACATCGCCATCCTTGGGGGGCTGCGAAGTGCGACACTGGCGCCACCTTCGAGGGCTGCTGGGGGTCTAGCGTGGTGACGGTTTATGCAGATTCAGATTCGACCTCGCCATCCTTGGAGGGCTGCGAACTTCAACACCGTCGCCGCTTTCGAGGGTTGCTGGGGGGTCCAGCAGAGTGACGCCTTACGCAGGTTCAGATTCGACCTCACCATCCCTGGGGGATAGTGAACTGCGACGCTGTCGCCAATTTCGAAAGCTGCTGGGGGGTCCAGCGGAGTGACGCCTTACGCAGATTCAGAGAAAAAGTCGCCATCCCTTGGGGGCTGTGAAGTGCGACGCTGGCGCCACTTTCGAGGGCTGTTGGGGGGTCCATCGGAGTGACGCCTTACGAAGATTCAGATTCGACCTCACTGCCGCCACTTTCGAGGGCTGCTGAGGGGGCCCAGCGGAGTGACGCCTTACGCAGATTCAGAGAAAAACTCGCCATCCCTGGGGGGCTGCGAACTGAGACGCTGTCGCCAATTGCGGGAATTGCTCTGTGGTCCAGCGGAGTGACGCCCTACGCAGATTCAGAGTAGCCCTCACCATCCCCGGGGGGACTGCGAAGTGCGACGCTGGCGCCACTTTCGAGGGCCTCGGCGGGTCCAGTGTAGCGACGCCATACGGAGATTCACGTTAGACCTCGCCATCCCTGGAGGTCTGCGAAGTGCGACAGTGTCGCCACTTTCGAGGGCTGTTGGGGGTTCCAACGGAGTGACGCCTTACGAAGATTTAGATTCGACCTCGCCATCCCCTGCAGGCTGCGAAGTGCGACGCTTTCGCCACGTTTGAGAGCTGCTGGGGGGTCCAGCGGAGTGACGTCATACGAGACTGATGCCGAGGTCCTGATGTCCACGGCCTGCCACGGCAGGACCATGCACCGCGGAGTCATGGTCGACGTTGGGTTCGAGGACGAGAAGAACATGGACGACCTTCGGCTGCATCTCTTCGCGATGCTGCCCGGGGCGACGACAGTGGACAACCTGCTGATGATGCGCGACCCGGGCTTGATTTCTTTTCCCGCGTGCCGCCCCGCCGACCTGGCGGCGCGCCTACGGACGTTTAGTTCCCGAGTTCAAAAATGCAGGGGGGAGGCGGAGAAGTTGGCGTGCCGGCTAGGCCTCGCTCGGCTTTTGCATTACCTATACTGATATGGTCTCGTTGTCCGCCAGAGCGACATTGCGCGGGCCGCGTTGCCTGTCCAGCGTGCCAGTGGGGAAAAAGCGTCGCCATTCAGTCCCGTTCCTCTTCCTTCGCTGTCGTCCTCTTCCTCCATCCACCGTTTCCCTGCTGCTGCCGCGCTGACTTTTCGGCCCCGCTCGCGCCCTTCGCCCTCCTCTTGCCCCTCGTTCTCGCTGCCCCCTTTCTTCTCCGAGCCTGGGGTCTCAGTCCTCGTCCTTCTGTTGTTGTCCAGGGAGTCGTTCCACGCGCGCGCTTTTCTCACGCGGCTCGCGCAGCAAATGACAGCACCTTCGCCGTCGGTGTCCATACACATTTGGGCGAACTCTTCACGTGATGCCTGGGGGGCTGGCACGTAGCAGGGCAATCTGTTCACAGCCCTCGGGCCCGACATCGGCTCAAGGGCGCCAGAAACTTAGGACACGCTGTCGGCATTTGAATGTTTCAGGAAGAGGTTGGAGATCTACCTTGTGGCTGGGGCCCCTTTTCCCTGGCCCACTGGTCGCGGTCACGGCGTTAACGCAGCCCGCCCTGGACCATCCCTCCCGCCCCTACTTCAGCAGGTCCGCGCCGCTTCGAGTCGGCGTCGACCCCAGCGCCGGCGTTCAGGGTTGAACGCCGCCGGTGATTCGGAAGTTGTCGATATCGAGCGATCCGCGTTGTGGGAACGTCGCGACCGTTCAAGAGGCTGTACGATCCCGGCGGATTTTGTTTAAAACCAGCGCGGAAACCGTCGCGACATGAGCTGGCCATTCAGCCATCGTGTTGCTATAAAGGAGCGCTGACTAAGGATCTACGTTGCGTTCCGTTCGTTGATATCAGGTCGGAAGGAGGGGGTTGGGTGGTTACTCACGTTTGCATGCGTTCTGTTGTCTTGTTGGTGGCGACCCCCTCCGTTCGTTTTGTCGATCAGGGCGACCCGAGAACAGGTGGACGAGGCTCGGCCGTCCCTGCGGGTTTTACGGACTGATTCGGAAGAATGGGTGTCGTTCCTGATCCATCGTTCATGATTTCAGCAGCCCGACCAACTGCACCTGCCTGAAACGGGAGGCATCTCCTGGCCACGGCGAGTTTCGGCCACACAACGATTCCCCGACCAGGATCTAACAAACGACCCGCAGATCAGAGCTCATCTTGAAGCCCTGACCAATTCTTGTCCCGGGGGCCTGCGCCATTCCGCCGACCCCAGGAGACTGAGGAAAAAAGGAAGAAAAGGATGCAATGGGAGACGACGACGACAGAGGGAACAGAAAGAGGAGCAGGAGGAGCCTCGTGGATCTTCTTTTGGTCAAATGAGTCCGTCGGGGGTCGTCGCTGGGACCTCCTTTATTCCAAGTTGATCGCAGCGGGAGGGAGTCGGCTCACGGTGTTTACACATGCTCATGGCGTCCTTTGGGGTGTGTTGGGGGCCTCTCGGGTGCCTTTCGGGGGTTTGTTGGAGCTTCTTGGGGCCTCGTTTGGGTCTTCTGGGGGCCGTCCTGGGGCTTTTGGGGCGCGTCTCGTGTACCTCTTAATTAGCAGTCTCGGGGGCCATTATGGGGCAGAGGGCTCGAATTACCGGTTTGTGCTCCCCCTGTTGAGCCTCTCTTGGAGCTGTCTTGGGAGCCTTTTGGGTTTTCTTGGGGCCATCGTGAGCCGTGTGGGGGCCCTCTTCACTCTTGGGGGCCTCTTGGGCCTTCTTGGGGCGATCTTGGGGGCGTGTGGGGCCGTCTTGGAGCGTCGGAAGCCCGAAAAGCCGATGACGCTATATTCTTTCAGAATTTTTAGAACTCAGAGATTTGAGCCTTTTGGAGGGCCTCTTGGAGCGCTCGTTGAGGTGTCTTGGGGGCCTTGCGGGCCGTACGCATGGAGGACATCTCGGGCGTCTTGGAGCGAGCTTGGGCCGTCTCGGAGCCTTCGTGGGCCCCTCTTAGGGCCCTCTTCCCTCTCCGAGGGCCCCAGGGGTGCGCTGAAGAATTCGCCCTCCCCCCTCCACCCTCTACAGTAGAGGCCCATGCCAAGAAGCACCCTGCCTGGCCGAGAGGGGGGGGGGGGGGGGGGGCAAAACCACAAAAAGGAGGAGGAGGAGGAGGAGGAGGAGGAGGAGGAGGAGGAGGAGGAGGGGGAGGAGGAGGAGCTTCGACTCCGAACAGAGCAGGCCGGCGCACTCGGCAGCCCCACGGGGAGGGCGAGAGAGCGCACGCACGCTCACGCTTTTGGTGCTGGCTCGTGGCGCCCATCCGGGGGCGGACGGCACGTGCCCCCCCCTTCCCCCCCAAGGGGCACACCGAGGGCCCTGGGCTATGATGTTCCAGCCTACTTTCTAGCCTTGAGCACCGAAAAGCACTTCGAGCACCAAAGAGGCACCGAGGCTCGAGGGTTTTCGCGCGTCGGGCCCTGGGGGACACTCGTCCGACACTGTCTCGACACTCTTCCGGCACTCTTTCGATGCTGTACTCTTCCGGGTGCTCGAAATTATTTCTGGGAGGTGGTCCTCAAGTGCGATGGGAGCAACACAAGCCCTGGGGACAGCCGCGCCCCGCCGTCGGCATACCCGAGGAGGGAGAGGCACCCCCCGAGTCGAAACCCTGACGAAGACGAAGAGGGAAGAGGGAGGCGCACGCCTTGTTTCCAGTCTGCGCACGCCCTGTTTCCAGTGTGTTGCGCCCCCAGGGGCGGACGACACGTGCCCTCCTCCTCCTCCTACTCCTCCTCCTCCTCCTCACCTCCTCCTCCTCCTCCTCCTCCTCCTCCCTCCTCCTCCTCCTCCTCCTCCTCCTCCTCCTCCTCCTCCTCCTCCTCCTCTTCCTCCTCCTCCTCCTCCTCCTCCTCCTCCTCCTCCTCCTCCTCCTCCTCCTCCTCCTCCTCCTCCTCCTCCTCCTCCTCCCCCAGGGGCAGACCGAGGGCCCCGGGGGCAGCCGCGCCCCGCCGAGGGCTTGCGCGATGGTGGGCGGGCATCCCCCGAGGCAGGCCAGCGAGGAGGGCACAAAGCCCGCGACGCGGCGCCCGAGTCTCAGCGAGCGAAGAACGGTATAAGATAAACTTTTTCGCCGTCGGGGACACCTGCCCCTGGGCGGCTGGAAAGCTTATCCCCCTACGGTGCCCCGTAGGGGCATAAGCTTTCCAGCCGCCCAGGGGCAGGTGTCCCCGACGGCGAAAAGGTTTATCTTATACCTTTCTTCGCCCGTGAAGAGTCCATGGAGCAGGGCAGACGCCATCGGCCACGCGGCCGGGACACGAAAGCTTGCCCCACGCACGAAACGCAGTCCTTGGCGGCCCCCCTCCCCCCGCGCGGGGGGGGGAAGGAATGTGTCGAGGGGCACAGAAGCGAGGAGCGAGGGGCGAGCACGGAGAGGGCGGGAGGAGGAGGAGGAGGAGGAGGAGGAGGAGGAGGAGGAGGAGGAGGAGGAGGACGGGAGGAGGAGGAGGAGGAGGAGAGAGGGCGGGAGGAGAGGAGGGAGGGAGGGGAGGACGGGAGGGGGGGAGGGAGGTGGCCCGGCGCCTGCCATAGAGGGGAGAGGAGCAGCAGGAGGAGCAGGGAGAGGGGGGCAGCCAAACATCTCACACGCCTTGCCACCCCCGGCAAGCGGGGTCGGCGGATTTCAGCGTCCTGGCAGGACCTCCGTCGTGGTTGGTTCGGTGCTGGCGCTCCTCCTCGGCCTCTGCCTCCCTCCGGGGCCTCGCGTCGGCCACGCGGCCGCCGGCAAAGCCGGCGTGGGGCGAGAAACGAAACATCGGGGGGACGCGGCCGAGGGCCCTGGGGTTAAGCAAGGCCTGTCCCTCTACAGGAGGAATATTCGAAAATAGTAAAAAGAATGGTACGGGGACGATTGTTTGACTACTTTTGCCCTTTTGGGGGGTACAGTCGGGGCGCAGAAGAAGGAACCCTTTCCATTGATTGTTTCAGAGTTTGCCTCGGGTTTTCCCAAGGTTTTCCATGGGAAATCGAGGTTGAACTTGTGGGAAAAAGGGGCCTCGTTCCTTATTTAGGGTTCCTTAGGTCAACGCCTCGACTGTATTATTTGGGTACTTTTTATTTCTCGCCCAAAATCCCCCTGTAGGGGGACACGCCCGACTTAACCCTGGGGCTCCAGGCCCCGCGCTCGCCCTGAAGAAGCGAGCCGCGGCGCCACGGGCTTGGGCACGAGAGCGTGGGGCAGGTTGCGCGCGACGCGGCCTAGCCAGGGCGAGAGCCCGGTGCACGCGTGGCCAGATCCGAAGGAGAAAAGCGGCAGAAGCATCAAGTCGGGACCGTCCTTCTACAGGGGGAATATTCACAAGTAGCCAAAAGTAGTCAGAGGATTATTTGTTTAGACTATGTGTGGCTCTTGTTGATCATGCTTGGACATCTGGTAATTTTTCCTCGAAAATCCTCCTGTAGGGGGCATGCCCGACCTAACACAAGCATAAACGTTCCACGGTCCGCGCGGATTTCTTGCATCCTCGCTGGGGCTCCCCTGGCGACGCCTCCAGCGTCGAGCGGGGGTCCGGCGCGGATCCAAGAGATCTGCGCGGAGCCTGAAGTCGGGACTGCCCCGCTATAAGGAGGAATGTTCAAAAATAGTCAGGCGATCATATGGGGACGAGTTGTTTTACAATTTTCGATTTGTTTTATCATTTTTTCCTTTATACAAAATGTCGTCCAAAATCCGCCTGTAGGAGGACATGCCGTTTTTTCTCCTTCTCCTTTTCTGCGGCCAGGCCCTCCGCTCCGCATGCGGATCCAGCTATGTGCTCCAGCTTCCTGGTAGGGCCCCCTCCTTGGTGCCCCTCCGTTTCTCTGGGCGGGCCCCCCACCCCGTTTGGCGTTGCAAGTGTGCCTCGTGCGGGAGCCGGGGCCCGCGTGTCCTGTCTGCTTGTCCCGCTGCCCTGGTTCGGTTGGACCCTCGCTCTTCCGCAGAGCAGTTGCTGCTCTTGGGCTTTTCCCACTTCCTCACAGAGCGGGCCAAGATCCGCTCCAGCGCGGTCCCCGGACCCATCCTGGGGCCCGTCCGGACCAGTTTACCGAAGCGCGTCCAGCCGTGGTGGCGAGAAATTCCAGAAACGTCAAGAACATTTGAAGCGACGACGTCGACGACGCCGTCGGTTTTCGTCACCCCCTCCAGTTCTCTTGTATGCTTTCTTGCAATTTGCCATGATCCTGGTGGCCCTCTACTTCCAGAGTGCCTGGGAGTGGTTCAATTAGCGGCAGCAGTACGACACGGGCAACCAAGTTAAAGCCTCGTTTGCCGTGGGCGCTGCGGAACGTCGAGCAGTCGCCACTCCCCTGGCCCCTTGGAGCCCAATGCCTCTGGAACGCGAAGATTGGAGAGGCCTGACGGCCGGTGCCGCCGACCCTGATCGAAAGGGCTAGGAGTGGGGGGGAGGAAGCGGAGGATGAGGAGGAGGAGGAGGAGGAGGAGGAGGAGGAGGAACGCGAAGATTTACTGTCAGTGGTTTCCAGCCCCCTGCACTGTTTTCCAGCCCCCTTCCACCCCCGGGCGCCTGCCGCCGCCAGCACTGGCCGCGCGAAGCTCTTCGTGCTCTGAGCGCGCGCTCCGCCGCCGCCCCCCCCCCCCCCCGCGGCGGCCTCCTCCTCTCCCGCGCCCCCCGGCGCCTGCGGCCGGGGCCCACTCCCGCGGAGCGCGCTTCGCGGCGCTGGCCCCCGCGGCGCGCTCTCCCCCTGGCAGGCGCGCAGCGTGCCGCTCGGCTCCCCAGAGATCCGACGCAATGCAACAACCAAATCGGAGGCTTTTCGCAAATTTCGGCCCCCAGGGGCCCTCGCCTGGCCCCGGGACCGTCAACAAACGACTCGGGATGAAAAACCGGTCCTGGGGGATGGGTCGAGACCTCCGGGGACCGCGTATTGAAAAAATCACGACATCGGACCTCTGGCCCCGCGTGTGGCGGGCGGGCTCGGAGAGGCTCGGCCAACACGGGGACGCGGGGCGACCGGGCAGTGGGCAGCGCCTCCGCGCCGAGGCGTGGAGGGGCCAGCACCGGCGGGGCGGCACGCTGCAACTTAAGAGCTCCCGACCGCGATCTGTGCGCTTCCACCCTCCCCCCCCTCCTCCTCCTCCTACTCCTCCTGCTCCTCCTCCTCCTGCTCCTCCTCCTCCTCCTCCTCCTCTTCCTCCTCCTTCTCCCCCTCCTCCTCGTCGTCGTCCTCCTCCTCCTCCTCCATCTCTCCCTCTGGCTCCTGCTTCCTACGCCCCGGTCTGCCGCCCCGACCGCCGAGTGCGCTCGTCAGCGCCGCGACAAGGGAGCTCGTTCAGCCTCCGCGGGGCGTCGTGGGCCGCAGGGGGCCTGCAGGGAGCAGTCCTGGGCGAACAGGCCCAGGTCCAGAGGCCCCGGGGCCCCACGGCGAGCAGAGCCGGGCCGGGGCAGGGTGGGCCTCCCTGGCTCCTGATCCGCCGTACTTTGGATGATTTTCCGACCTAAAATTGTGTCGGAAATCGACGCCAAAGGAGCCTCAAGGGCGGAAGTCGACGCTCAAAGGGGCCTTAAAAGTAGGGCGGAAATTTCCGCCCTACTTTCGAAATCGCCCAAAGTAGGGCGGATCAGGAGTCAGGGAGGTCCAGAGGCCCCGGGGCCCCACGGCGAGCAGAGCCGGGCCGGGGCAGGGCGGGCCCTGGGGAGTCCAGGTGGGCCCTGGGGAGTCCAGCGGACCAGCGCGACACGGGCCCCCACGGCGGTTCCCGCCTGTGCCCTGTCCCCTGGGCGCTTCCAGCCCCGCGGGTTCCCTCCTGAGCCCGTTTGGCGTCCACCCTTTCCGTGTTGAGCCCGTTCGCCACCGCCCACCGAACCACCCCAACCCAACCCGAAGGCCCCGATTTGCCTTCATTTCCAGTGGGGGTGTTGCCGGGGAACATGGAGAAGAGCACATATGAAGCCCGTACCCCCCCCCCCAAAACCCGGAATCTGGGTCTTCGGGTTGGGTTGGGGTGGTCTGGTAGGTAGTGAGTTCGGCGGCTCGTTCGGTGGCACAACGGGCTCAGACGCCGAGCGGGCTCTGCAGGGAACCCTGGGGCCATGGCAGAATCGCGCGCGTCGCCGCGGCAGCGACGCTGGCGCTGGAATTTAAGGTTGACGGCCGCTAGCAGCTTGAACCAGGCCGATCTTGAGAGATCCCCACTCGGATGGCGGAGATCGCTCGAGATTGAAGGATCTTCGCTGTGTCGGAACGAACGTCCAAGTCGTCGCGGCAGGATCTGGCCAGAAGCCTCGACTCCCCTCCGGGGGCGCCCCCTGTGCAGTTGCAGTTCTGCGCGCTCTTGGCCAGGCCGTGCACGTCCTTAAGGGTGACTCCTCTGGTGGTGCGCCCTTCTCCCCAGCAGGAGCTGGAGCCCGCCCTCCGGGCTGCGGACGAGCTGCTCGGCTGGTGGGACATCGGCAGCACCCAAGCACAGCTCTCCTGCGTGTGCGCCGCCGCCCCCCCCCACCCCACCAGGGGCGACGCGCGCGCCGAGAAGTCGTCCAGCACATGCTCGGCGGCGGGCGCTCTCTGGCCATACCGCCTGGGCAACGGTATATACTATGATTAAATCGGGCCGGTCCCTCTACAGGAGGAAGATTCAGAAGTAGTAGATTACCCCAGTGCGACCCTACCTAGAAGTTGGAGCCTCTAGGAAAGCAGCATTAGTTGCTATGCCATGCCATGCCATGCCATGCCATGCCATGCCATGCTATGCTGCGCTATGCTATGCTATGCTATGCTATGCTATGCTATGCTATGTTGCGATATGCTATGCTATGCTAAGCTATGCTATGTCATGCTGCGCTGTGTTATTATAAGCTATGATATGCTATGCTATGTTATGCTAAGTTGCACAATGCTATGCTGTGCTATGCTATGCTATGCTATGCTGCGCTATGCTATGCTATGCTATGCCATGATGTGCTCTGATATACTAGAGCTCGGCGAAGCTAAGATGAAGGTAAGCTAAGCTAAGATAAACCTGAGCTAAGATGAAGCTACACTACGCTAAGATGAAGCTAAGCTAAGCTAATATGAAGCTAAGCTAAGCTAAGATGAGATAAGCAACGCTAAGCTAAGGGGACGTAACTGGGGGAACCGCGGGGCGGGGACTGGGGGAACCGCCCGGGGCGGCCTACACTGCCCGGCCCTTTTAAGCAAACAAAGTAAGAACCCTCTAGGCAGAGCCTAGGTAGGGAAAATATAGTCAGGGGACGATGTTTGGAGTATATTCGAGCATTTTTGGGGAGCATGTTTTGACTCTGTTTGAGTTTTCGCCCAAAATCCGCCTGTACGGGGGCATGCCCGACCTCATACTACGGTGGGGGCGTTGGTTAAGGAATGTGCCCAGGAGGCTGCAGACCCTCCAGGATTCCTTATCTGACGAGGGCGGCGGTGATATCCATGGCCAAGCCTGGATTGGAGTTCCACCGGCTTCCAGACCCTGGATTCCTTATCCAAGGGTTCCTCACAGGCCTCGGAAAAAATAGCGAGCACCCATGCCACATTCATCTGTGAACGCCTCCCCCTCCCCCCAATGTTCAAAGTTGGCGGTGGGTCTGATGAGTTGCACCTCGACCGCAGTCTCCCCCGCGCGTGCCAACTTTGAGCCTGGGGGGGCAGTGGGGGTGTTCACCAATCGTTCCCCTCTGCCGTATCCAATGCCCACACCGTATATAAGGGTGGTGCACTGCACGCTCCGCCTGGACGTGCGCTTCCCTCTAAGGGGTGCCCACACCGTATTAAATTGGTGCACTGCACGCTCCGTCCGGACGTGAGGAGGAGGAGGAGGAGGAGGAGGAGGAGGAGGAGGAGGAGGAGTAGGAGGAGAGGAAGGAGAAGAGAAGGAGGAGGAGGTGGAGGAGGATGAGGAGGAGGAGGGGGAGAGGAGGAGGAGGAGGAGGAGGAGGAGGAGAGGAGGAAGAGGAGGAGGTTGCGCCTCACTATAAGGGGTGCCTCTCGGTGCTCCCGTGCTCTCTCTGGCGCCCCAGGACCGGGCGTGCCGCTCGGAGCCGCACCCCGAGCTGCGGGGGCCCGCGGTGGAGCGCTTCGGCCAGTGCCACCGGCTCCACCTCCACGCCGAGCTCGCGGCCCTGGTCCTCCCCCCTC